CCCCCCGCCACGGGGCTCTGGTGCTGCTCTTGGCAATTCAGCCTCTTTGCGAGTGGAAGCAGCCTTCCCCAGGTCTCCCATAATTAGCAAGCCTTCTGGCTGGGGTAGTGCTGGCTGAGAATAATTTAAAATGTGCCCCTTTAAGTCACCCTGCTTTGAATGGACATCCTTCTCCCAAGCACCGCGCCCCAGGGAATACAAGTGATTTTTTTCTTCCTTGCTAGGAAAAGTTGTCATTGTTGCTATAGACTGAATATGCTTTTTTTTTTCATTTCCCAACAGAAAGCAGTTAGCAGAACAGTATTTTAAACTACTCACTGGCATTTTTTAAATCTGAATAACCACAACAAAATAAGTTGCCTTTCCTTCCATTTGGGGTCTTTGAGTCTCCTGGGGTGGTAGGAGTAAAGCTCCTTTGTGAAGTTAGCGTATGTTATGCTGCTCTTAAAAAACACAACTTGCCAGTGTCGTTCTTTCTTAGCTGCTTACCTAACTAAGGAACACTCTTTCTCCTTTTCAAAAGTTATTTTAGTGCTGCTCTATTCTGGTAAGGTTAGTTGCTGAAAGGTATGTGGCAGAATGTCCACAGAAATGGAACATCACATCTTAAGAAATGTGTTAAGTAAGGCAGAAGTTGCAAAACTCTTCCCCAGCGGAGGTTTGTCTAAAACAATTCCGAAGTACGTGCACCTCAACCCCTCCTTTACATTATGGAAACCTGTATGATGGAGCCCTGAATTTTCTCATTTATGTCTTAAGAAACTTCTGAATGCTTCTTCCCCCTAACCTGAAATCAGAGGGCTTGTTGTCAACCAATAAGCTTTACTAGCTGTGCAGCACATCATGTACCCAGTTGAGGCTGATACGGTCTACCTCTTCGGAATCCCCAACTGGCCCATCCGCCCTCTGCTGCCCCTTCGCAAACGGATCAGTGCTAACGATTAGCTCCTTTATACTGAAAGTGAAGCCGTCTTTTTCAAGCGGAAAGAGAAAAGCGATAGCTGTGCTGCTGGAGAGGAAACTGCCTGTCCCACTGGGGAGGCAAGCGCAGCCTCCTCTTCCAGCTTGGCAAGCAAGTTACTGGGCAGTGTCCTTCTCGTGGAGCTGCTGGGCTTCCGCCTGCCGTCCTTCAGCTGGAGAACATTAAGCCGCTCGGTCTCAGTCAAGCTTTTCTGAAGCCTGCCTTCCGTCCCTGTTTCTTTAATAAAGAAAGCTGCTGTACATCTGAGCGCTGCGGTCTGAGATATTTCTTTTGGATCCTTCCTTCTTGGTCGCCTGGGGAACCTCTGGGCAGGGACAGGTGAGTTGTGGGGATTGGTAGTGGGAGCGACACTGATCTCTGACACCCAGAAAGAAGATGCTGGACTCAGGTGGGCCTTGGCCTGATCCAGCTGTTCTTAGCTCAGCCTCGAAAGGCCGTGAAACGCACGTGGGCTGCTCCCCCGCCTCGTCTCGGCATCCTTCCCGAGGAGACGGGAAGCGGAAGAGGAAACAGCCCCTCCCTGAAGGAACTGGGCCACGGCCGCTGAAGGCGCCTCCTTCACAGCGTCCATTCGCCTGGGCCCTCGCGGCTGCCGCCCCCTTGCCCTGAAGCGCTTTCCGAACGCCCCTGGTTTAACGGGTTAACCCCTTTCCTGGGCTTGCCAAATGCGCTGACCTATAAACTTAACCATTTTAGGGACGAAAGGTGGTCTCGGGTGTGGTTCG